GTGTCGTCCTGTGACCCCTCTCTGTGCCATGAGGGCAGAAAATAGAAGATTGAGATGCAGGGTGGAGCCTGAGGTTTGGGTAAGCACTAATGTCCAGGGAATGGCAGAGTGTCAGAGAGGTGAAGTGATTGAAACTGGACAGGCTCAGAGCCACCAGCTGTGCCACTCTCCCCAGCATTAGGTGGGACCTAAGCGTCCAGCTCCTACTCGCCAGGTGGAAGAGTCAGAGGCCCCAGGGGCAAGTTCAGGAGGAGACACCCTGCCGCCAGCATGCACATAGAGCGCAGAGCGCAGGCAGGGGCCACACATTGTCTGAGATGAAATTTGAAGGTCAACATTCTTGCTGGTCGTCTAGAAGGGCTCAGTATCCCGAACTTGATCTTCTAAGGTGTGTTTCTTCAAGCTTGGTCGTGTTTTTGGATAAGTCAGAGCACCTGGTTCTGGGGTAGTTGGGTACCGCCATCCCTCCTTGTCTCAGACCTCAGTTACTTGCCAGCTGTGGCCTCAAAATATTAAGTGGAAAATTCCAGAAGTAAACAGTTGTTAAGTTTTGGATTCACCCCATTCTGCATAGCATGATGGAAGCTTGCACCACCGGCTCTGTCCCACCTGGGGGAAGGTTCCTTTGCCCAGTGTGTCTGCTCTGTGTGCACGGCCTGCTGGTTAGTTATGTAGCAGCCTCCGTTATCAGGTGGCTGTGGTCCCGCAGTGCTTGTGTTCAAGTGACCCTCATCTTACCTGACAAAGGCCCCACGGTGCAGGCAATCTCCACCCCCAGGTCACCACCCCCGTGGCACTGTGCGGGGACTCAGCCTGCAGCTCCAGGGGATGCCTCTGATGGGCAGGGCCGGCGGAGCTCTGCGGGAGCCAGGGGCCTCGCCCTGGTGGAGCTGGGCAACCCCAGGAGCACCTGCACTCTGGCATTGGTAGGAGACAGAAGGAGAAGAAGGCGATGCATCAGAAGGCAGTGGCCCCCAGGGCAGCAGAGGCTTCTTGTGCGCAGTTGCTAATTGCCTTTAATAACAGTCAGGAGGGCGGAAAAGGCCAGTGTCCCACCACGCAGGGTGGCCTGGGCCGCGCCAGGCCGTGCTCCGCTGGGCCTTGCCCAGCTCCCTAGGCTGGCTGGCTTCTTTTCTTTCTTCCTCTTTTTCTTTATCTGTGACATCTGCTCAGTGTTGTCCCTCCTGTGATACCATACCCCTTGCAGCTGTGCAGACCTCCAGCTCTGCGCTGGTGCGCGAGTGCCCTGAGCATACGGCCTTTTTGATGTGTGATGAAACAGAACCGAGCCGCAGGGGTATGGTGAGCGAAGGCATCAGAATATCAATTAACCTGCTCGAACAGAGCTGCGGCTCGGAGCGGAACAGACGTCTCACTGAAGTGTCAGGAAGATGGATAATGTGTTCTAATTAGGGTTGACTGATACCTCCACATCGAGCCACTCCGGCCCTCGGACCCTCAGACCCAGCAATGCAGGCTCGTCTCAAATGTCTTGGTGTCCCACCATAGCAGTCGTTGGATGCTGTTTGCTGATTGATGACTTCTTGCTTTGCCAGGATTTGCAGCCATTAAAGTGTTCTCTGCCAAAATTGCCATTTCCCTGGAAAGTGCAGTCAGCTTTGCAGCTGGGCAAGAGACCTCCTTAAACACAGAAGCTCTGGGACAGGCCTTTTCCGAGCGCCCTGCCTGGGCCTTCTATCTCACGGATGCCCCAGGATGGATGCATCCTGAGACAGAGCCCCAGTCAAGGCTCCGTCCCTCCTGGGGGACTGCAGTGGGCCAGCCTGGGCCAGCACAGGGGAGAAGAGTCTCCGCGCTGTCTGTCCAGCAGGGTGGGGTGTGCCCCAGCGGGTCCCCAGGAACCCCATTCCTCAGGCACCTGGGGGACTGTGCCACCTCCCCAGGTCAAAAAAAGCAGACCTGAGAGCCAGTGACGGGGCTCACTTCAGAGCTCCCGCCCTCCTCCCCACGTCTCAGACTCAGTGACGCCCGTGGGACCAGGTGAATCGGGGGCCCTGCAGTTGGCAGCCCATTCCTGGTGGCTGGAAGTCCCTCTTTCTCCAGCGAGGACTTGGTGAGAGATGCTCTGAAAGCTCTGGCCCACAGGTGACGTCCACTGTGAGTTCATGGTGATTATGGAGATTGCTCAGAAATGCAAGATGGAAAGCAGAGCTTGGTGCTGAGCAAGGCCAGAGCCCCAGGTTCCTCCAGCTCCAAATAGTCGTGGACACAGCCTGCTGTCCTCGTGTTCGGGGAAGCAACCCAGGGCTAACTCCTCCCCTCTACGTAAGGGAAAATCAGGGTCTGGGTTGAGCTGTCGTTCAGAAAGTGCTGGTTGGGCTTGTAGGACCCAGGGAACTCTCGGAGGGGACAGCGTACTTCAGGCTTCTGGGGCTCGCCTGGGCAGTTTGCTTTCTCTGAGCCGTGGCTGTGACAAGGATTTGAAAGGAAAGGGCTGTTAAAAAAGCAACTTTGCTTTTTTAGTTCCAGAAACTAGGGGTTTTGTGATGGTGTGTTTCTTTCTATATGGGTTAAGAATTTCACAAGAGCCTGTCTGTTTTTCCCAGCGCTCTCGATGCTGTAAATTCGTTAACTTTTCTTATTCAGCAGTCAGTGGAGGCTGTTGGAACCTAAATGCTCTAGTAGAATAGAAATGCGGGCACTATGCTGGTTTTTGCAAGACGACACCTCTCACCCCACCTGCCCTGTGTCCTCTAGGTCCTGGGGTGTGAGGTGTGAGTGACCTTAAGTCTGACTTGCCCCGGCACCCCACCCCCCGTCCTGAGGTGTCAGGCTCTGAGGGAGGTGTCTCTGACAGGTGCTTCTCTTGGGGAACCTGCATCCCAAACCTCCTCTCCAGCGCCTGCCTGCCGGGCTCCCTGCTCTGCGGAGCTGAGACTGGAGCGATCTGCTCTTATATTTCACTCTTTGAGAGCTCACTTTGCTGATTTATCTGGATATCGAGCCCCAAGCATTAAACAGTGTGTGCGTCTAACTCTAGACTCCTGGGACTTGAAAGGCCTTCAGAAATTGTTTAATGTGAACATTGCTGAGGGACATAGAAAACAGCTTAAGCAAATGGGAAGATAATGCATCGACTTGATCCTGTAAGAACGTCAGTTCTTCATGAATTAATCCACACATTTAATGTCATTCAAAAATCCTCCCAGAATTTCTATTTTGGCACTTGACAAACAAATTTTTTTGATGCTTTCCTGGAAGAAAAAATATTTGAAAAAATGGGAAGGGAAGCATATTCTATTAGTCATAAAAATAAATTATAAAACAATAATCATTTCAAAGGTTAAATAAGAACAGTTTAATCATCTACAGGCAGAAAGAGGCCAAAGCCAAGGTCATATCAGCATCTAGACTATGACAAAAGAGACTTTGGAGGGGAACAGAGAGACTTTTGACAGATGAGGTCAGGATAGCTGGCAAGCCACAGGAAACAGGTCACAGCTGCGTGCCATTCACAAAAGAAAACATGCACTTTTAAATATTTAAGTGTAAAGAGTAAAAACATAAGAAAACATGGTTTAAATGCAAGCGAATATTAGCTTTGCAGTGGGAAGATCTCTTTATACATCCACACAATGCCAGAATCCAAAGAGAAAAGGAGCAATTGTCTTGGCTGCAAGCCAGTGTGTTAAAACAACACCTTACACAAAATTCAAAGGCTACAGACAGACCACAGAAAACCCTGAGGATATCATTGGCCTCAGAGGATTTGTGGTGGTGTTTGCCAAAATGGATTAAAATTCTTGATATGTAAAGAGCTCTTATAAGTAAGTAAAAGGATGAAATCCGAAGGGGAAAAATGATTGATAGCATGAATATACATTTTAGAAAAGAAAAAATTTAAATAGCCAATAAACACGGAAAAATATTGAACTTTACTAATGTAAATTAAAGCAGCAGTGGCATATTTTGCTGGACAGAGTTCCTTCAAGTTAATGCCCAACATTAGCCGTATGCAGGGAAACAGGGGTTCCACCATTGAACTCATAAACTGGCCAGGCAATTTTGTGGAGTCGTATGGCAAAATATGTCAAAAGCCACAAGAGAAGGCGTCGACTTCTGGAAATTCACCTTGAGGATATTTGATTCTCAGCAAGACAACATATGAACAGCGTTTTTTAATAATGATGAAACAGTGGCATCAAACCCAACGAGCACAGTATTGGCGTAGGTAGCATGCAAGCGTAGGTAGCATGCAGCAGGTCAGCTCAGGCTGCCACCGAAACCTCTGGGGAGGAGCCTTTGGTGACATGCAAAACATTCCTGCCATGTTCTTACCATGTGAAAGGAACAGATCACAAAATGTGTGTGATTCTTTCCCTCCCACCCTAGGAAAAAAGGACCTTTTTCAGGAAAAGGAGATAAGCCCAAGTGTCTCAGTGGTGCCTTTAGGTGCCCGGTGTTCCTGGAGACTTGCAGTGCTACTTCGGCTTTTCTGCATGTTCTGAAACTCTGTAGGAAAGAATTGGAAGTGTGAGAAGAGCTATGTGCACAAGAGGCCTGTCACAGTGTGACTTATGCTGGTGGACACTGCAGCTGACCTGTCCAGCTGGAGGGCATGGCTAGGTAGCGGCAGCACACCCACTTGATGGACATTGTTTAGCCACCAAAAATGGAGGCAATGGAGACCCGCTGCAATGTGGAAAACGCTCGAGGTCGCGCTCATGCGTGGTAGAAAGAATCAGGACGTGAAGTGCATGTTGGGCTGGGGACGCGCTCAGAGGCAGTGTGAATGAGCCTTGGGTGGGATCCCCAGCATTGAAAAAGAAAGGCGGGGGCACACATTCTGATTATGACCGTAAACGTGGATTTGGGGGGAAGAGAGGAGTTGTGGAGGAAGGCGATGCCGTTATCAGAGACATTCGTTTCCTTGTCTGAAAAGCTCCAGTTCTTCCATAAAGTTATTATGTTCTTTTAAAAATAATTTTTAAAAATCTAAAAACAGATGAGACGAGCGCCCCTTTACCTCCTCTGTCTAGGGCTGGATCCTGGACGGCATCCCCGAGACGCGGGAGCAGGCACTGGTGATCCAGACCCTGGGTATCGCCCCCAGGCACGTCAGTGAGTACCCCATCCTTGTCCCAGCCACCACCCAGGAAGGTCTGGGGACCCACAAGAAAAAGATGTTTTGAATTAAATGCAGCCCTAGACCCGGGCACAGGGCCACTTGTCATGAAGCCAGGTGGCGGTTTACTCTCACCTTGGGGTTCCCTGGGCCTGAAACCCCCTATCTGAGAAGCTCTTTAGGGAGTGAGCCATTCGAAATGTGGCAGAAGCACCTAGACAAAGATGTCGGTCATGCTGTTATTTATGTCCGTGAAGGTTGTTAGCTGGGGCGGGTCGATAGTGGGCTGTCCTGGGTCCCGAGAGGATACCCTTTGTGACTTAGTGCTGGGAAGACCTTGTCTTTAGGAGTTCCAGGGGATGGGAGGTGGTGGTGGGAGCAGCCAACGAAGCATAGAGCAAGGACTGGTCGTGAGGGTCAGCTGCCCAGCACGTCTGCGTCTGCTCCTTGTCTCCCCTGCCCAGTCGTGCTGAGTGCTCCGGACACTGTGCTGATCGAAAGGAACCTGGGGAAGAGGATTGACCCTCAGACTCGAGGTAGGGCTGTCTCCACGCCCCACACCCGTGGGTTTCCAGAACACTTGGAGACTCCTCACTCCCTGCGCACTCACCCTGCTCTGGGCATCTGAGAATAGTGGGAGGTGACTCGGACCAGCAGAGTATGGCTGTGAGCTGGACGACACTGGGAAACTGGGGACTTCAGCAGATGAGACCTTTAGGTGGAAGAGGGGCTTGTTTGCTGTAGAACCAGACTCAAGTGTGGATGTGGGGCGCCCAGGCTTTGAGTCCACTCTGCTGAGCTCCCCTCCTGGCTCAGGGCCACACATGGGAACCAGGGGTGGGGCCTGTCTCCATCTCCCTGGGAAGCAGTACACCTGAGCTCTTTGCTGTGGTCGCAGGTGAATAGGCATGTGTTTTACCTGGGAACTGGCAGGTGCCACAGGCCAGGACCTGCTGACGGGTCGTGAACACAGGAGGACCCTGGGCAGGCAGGGACAGGGAGTGATAGACCTGGGCTTTGTGGCCCCTCTCCAGCAGTACCACCTGGGATACCTCTGTGAGATTTCATTTTCTCACTGGTACTTAATGATTGCTGTGAGGGTCTGCAGGCCTATCAGCCGGGCCCGGGCCCAGTGCTCAGAAACTCACGGCAGCCCTACCCTGGTGACTCTTATCCTTGCGTTAAGGAGAGCAGGCCCGGCGCTCTCAGGCCCTGGGATGTCAGTCAACCACCAGCTGGGCCTCCAGGGCAGAGCCCTATCCAGGCACAGCGCCCCCCCCCCCAGCAGCCCTTCGGGGAGGTGGTAACTGCTCCTCTTTCTGTGCAGAGATCTATCACACCACTTTCGACTGGCCCCCGGAACTTGAAGTCCAGAACCGTCTGATAGAGCCAGAGGGCGTCTCAGAGCTGGAGACAGCCCAGAAACTGCTGGTGTATCATAGGAACATCATCAGGATCCTTCCTTCCTACCCCAAAATCCTGAAGACCATCAACGCTGACCAGCCATGTGTAGACGTCTTCTACCAGGGTAAACACAAACGGGAAGTCACACCCTGGGCACCGCCCCAGGCCCTGGCCCACCGTGCATGTCTGCCCCAGGCCCTGGCCCACCCACCGTGCGTGTCTGCCCCAGGCCCAGGCCCACCGTGCGTGTCAGCATCACCCATCTGGCAGTAGCCCATGGCCTAGGGGTGCTGGGACTCCAGGAGTCAAGTCATAGATGTCCAGCTCCCCTGCCCAGAGCAAGTGTGTGCAGGGTCCCTGAAGTGCCCCACTGGGAGACTGGGGCCAGCATCTGTGTCCTACACCTGGACATGGTCGTGTCTCTAGCCCGTGGGAAGTTTGACTGAGATAGAGGTGGGAGGAGGAGAGGTGAAGTATGGGGTGGCAGAGTCTGGACCTGACCCTGAAGGAGAAGGAAGAGCCGCCGTATGGAGGTTGGGACCGAGGGCTGGGTATGCTCCGTGGTGGAGTGCTTGCCAGGCCTGTGCGAGGCCCTGGGCTCAGCCCCCAGCACTGCAAAAAGGGGGGGGAAAAGAAAAAAAAAACAACACTATCACAACCAAGCCTCAGGTTCAGAGCAGGGAAGAGCCGTCCTGCTCCTGGCACTGTGCTGCCGTCCACAGCACAGCAGAGGTCCAGACATGATCCCGAGCGGTGGGCCACCACGTGCGCCACCATGGGCACCAAGGGAGGAGGGCCTGCCCTCTGCACTGCCGGAGCCCCGGTGTGGTCGACCCCTTGCCCAGCACACATGGCTTTGCCATCTTTGGCCTCGGTCTTAACACCCTGAGCCTGGGGCTTGCCATGCATAAGATGCCCCCCGCCCAGGAGCAGGGTCCCCAGTGGTGTGTCCACAGGAGGGCCCAGTGGCTGGTGAGGAAGCTCTCCGTGCCCTTCCCAAGCATGGTCACCGCGGTTCAGCATCCTGCCTATGAAGGCAGAGGGAAGGCAGAGCCACTCTGTCCCCAGAACTGTGTTATGATTTTTTAAAAGTCTTGCTGTGTCAAAACCCAGTTCTCCCCGTCCACCGACTCCTGGAAACCGAGGCATTCAGTCTGTTTCGACACGATACAGGCTCGACACAGACACTGAGGACACCAGACGGCTGGTGACGTCCTTTCTCACCTGCTCCCTCGGGTCTCCTTAAAGAAAGGTTTATCGCCATGAGACCTGGTTTGAGCCCCTGGGTGCTTCCCGCTGTCCCCCCACTGCCCTGTCCTGCTGCAGTCTCTGGAACAGCCATGCTGTCTAGAGGCACCAGCAGCCCCCAGGCGTGTGTCTGGAAAAGGACGGTGCTTTCAGAAATGCCAGGCTGATAATTTTCAGTGCTTTGCATCTCAGAAGGGTCTTTAGTAGTAAATACTCTGCACTCTTAAGATAAACATCGCCATGTTTATCTTATGCCATGATTTTGAATTTACACATTAATTACTTCCAAATTACTTAATTAAATTTAAAAGTTCATATGATTGTTCATAAAGAATTCATGCCTGGAATTGTAAATAAAAATGTGAGTGTCTGAATATTAATTATTATTAATTAATAATGCGGAGAGATAAATTGGAAATTGGAATGCAGAATTCTCTCTGTGTTGTTTTTTTAATCTCTCTGCAGTGTACCCAGCAACCACATATTTCTTAAAAAGAATAATCAGATGGCGAGACCGTCTGGGGGATCATTACTTCTAATTAACTTAGTTATTTACTGTAAATTAAGCGTCATTTGTAAGCAGGCGGCCTCGCCTGTAGCATTTGGTGCTTTTCAGAGGCTCTGGATCACGGGCGGTCTGAGGAGAGCCTTACTGGAGTCCCTGGCTGAGTTTTGGGCTCTCAGTGGGGAAATGGTGCCCATGGTGGTGGGTTTGGAGAGTTGTCTCGGAGCCTGATTGCCGCATCTGTAAAATGGGACAAGAATGATACCTTCCTTGTGGGATTGTGGGCCACTCAAATGAGGGAGTGACTACAGAGTGCTTAGCTCAGCAGTTAATATATGCTGGCTGTGATAGTGACGATGATGACAGCCAGCTTTGACTTTCCTGTGCCATTAGTTCTAAGGAGGGGATTGGTGATGTTTCTGATGATCCATCCAACAAAATAATCCCCAAATGAGCCCAAGGATCCTCACTAGGGGCAGTTCTGTCCCACGGCCCCCAGGTTCCAAGGGAGAACAGTTGACTGTCTGAGAGCAGTTTCTGGTTGCACAGCATGGAGTCGTGCTTCTGGCACATTGTGGGTGGAAGCCAGGATTGCCTCTCAGCACCACCCAGTGCCTAGGACACCCCACAGCAAGGAGCCATGTGGCTCAGCTTCCATGTGCGGAGGCTCAGAAACCCCAGACAGGGACCTTAAATGGTTTCTGGGGGCACATTCCTGAGAGTGGCATGCTGGCTCAGGCCTCTGCCCAGAACGGGATCCCCTGGTGGGACAATGGCACCGGTGATGGTCAGGGTCCCGAGGCTGGCATTGCAGGGACAGGCTGATGCTTCTGCAAGAAGTGAGGCTAGTGGGGAGGCCCTGTTATCAAGGCTGGCCCCTTTGGTAGGCAACTCCCCAGGGCCGCCCGGAAGCCTGCTCTTCGCAGCCCCACCAGCCTGTTCTCTGAGCCCCCCTCGTGTGTCCTGGAGTGGGAGGTGGCCTGTTTGATGTTCAGTGCTTTTCCCTGGGACTTCTCCGCATCCAGGGCCCCTGTGGTGCAGGTCTCCTGTCAGCAGTGCTCGGCCTTGCCTCTCCACGTCTTTGTTCATCAAATGCCAGGGGTGCGTCTCTGCCACTCCTGTGACCTGTTTCACCACCGCCTCTTTGGAGACTTGCAACAAAGTTGGTGTCACTGGAGTGCCGCTGCGCAGATTATTCTCCACCAATTCCCAAGTCCTTTAGAAGTCCCTGCCTGGGAGCCTCCCGCATGGCCTGACGCGTTCATCAAAGCCTGAGACTGACACCCAGCCGACACCTCCCCTGGGGGACCCGCCTGGCCCAGGGCTGGAGGTCAGAGGCTCAGCCAGGATGCAGTTTGGAAGCCTGTCACGTGCCAGAGCCAAACTCCCTGTGCAGCACACCCAGCCCCAGTTCAACCTGCAGGCCAGCGGCCGCCTGTGTGGGCTCTAGTGCAATTCCAGGGCAGTCCCAGGCGGGGGAGGTGGGGGCTCGTTCCTGCAGATCCGGGGGCACCGAAGGTTTCTATGGTGCCATAAAAGAGAAATACTGATGGCCACGAAAGGAGCCATGCAGAGGGGTTGTGAGCTGGCTTCCCTCCCCTTAGGGTCTGGGCTTATTATCCTCATTTCTCTTTCCAGCTCTGACCTTCGTCCAAAGTGGCCATCGATCCAATGCCCCATTCACCCCGAGGGTGCTGCTGTTGGGGCCCATGGGCAGCGGGAAGAGGCTGCAGGCTGGCCTCCTGGCCCAAAAATATGGCCTTGTCAACGGTGAGTGCCCAGAAGCAGCACTGCTTCTAGAGCCTTCTTTGCCTTCTGCCCCCCAAGCTTCCTCATTTTACGGGCTGGTGGAGGGCAGGAAGAATCCATATCAGTTTTCTTTCTTGCTCTCTGCTCTGAACAATTTCCAGCTAGTCCATCTTTACAGGTATAAGATTTTTCCTCCTGAAGAATATTGCCATAAAGACATCAACCAGCAAAAACGTGTCCGCAGCCCAAAGAGCCGGAACGTTTCCAGTCATCATTCTGTCTCCCTGGGCCTGCTGGCTGGTGTCTCTGCCGCCCAGGAGCTCTCCTGCAGCCCTGCGGCTGGCTCGCCGGGAGCCTCGGCTCCTAATAGGCATCTGCTGCTGATTTATTTGCTCCCGTCTCCTCCGCTCCCCCAACCCAGGTCAGGGTGTTTACAGGCAAACAATTTCTGAACCAGAGGAAGACTTCTCGCTCTGCACAGTTTCAATAAATATTTTACCAGGAGGAGAGAAAATATTGAAATCAGCTCTCCAGGTCTTTGCCGAGGTGGTCCCAGGCGGTCTTGGAATGGCGGCCTGTGTTCAGGAGGATCAAGGGCTGAGAAGGAGGAGGCGAGTGTAGGAGGTGCAGTGAGGGGCGGAGGGAGGGAGACGAGGCGCCACCCCCATGCTGCACAGCCAGCCTGCATTACCTCTGCTTTATGTACCAAGAGAACACGGGACCTGCACCCCCAGATTTATAAATATGTATATGCACACCCCCAAATTATACATCCACACCATACAAATCTATAGAGAGAATACATACACATGCACAAATATATTCATACATATAGCACCCAAAAGAATCACAGTTGGAATAAAAATACTTTTCAATTAGGTTTGCTCCAACTTGAAATTCCAGACCCTCAGGGACTAGCCAGGAATCAAGGACAAAAGTCACACCTGTAAAATCAAGAGGGAGAACTGAACAGTTACACTGCAGATTTGGTTAGGATAACGTGTACATTCTCTGTATCCACTTTTTTTTTTTTTTTTTTGTACCAGGGATTGAACTCAGGGAGGCTTAACCACTGAGCAACATCTCAGCCCTTTTTATTTTTTGTTTTGAGACACAGTGTCTTTAAGTTGCTTAGGGCCTCCCTAAGTTGCTGAGGCTGGTTTTGAATTTGTGATCCTCCTGCCTCAGCCTCCTGAGTTGCTGGGATTATAGGCAAATGCCACGGCACCCAGCTGCATTTACCTTTTCTTGGAAAAATGGAATTATTCAAATCATTCCTTCTTTCAATTTGATATATCAAGAGTATTCCAAGAAGAAGTCTGTGGCAGTGGCTGGGGATGGCTGGGGACAGGTAGGAACGGGAGCTGGCGGTGGTTGAGGATGAGTGGCAGGCTACCTGTGGCCGCACCCACGTGCTCCTCCAAGTGTCCACACTCTCTGCTGCGTGGAAGGACACAAGAGCCTTCGTGGCAGAGCGGGCGGTCCTGAGAACAACAGGAGCAGCTTATCAGCACCCGGCTTTCTCTGAGTAATCGGCTCGTGCTGCGATTCCCCTAGCAGTTACTCTCGCTCAGGCATTTTTTTAAAAATCTAAATTGCTTTCAGCACAGCAGTTGTGAAGAGATGATATTACCTGCCTAAATTTTTCCAAAAATGAAAATAGAAATGCTCGTGGAGCTTTGTAGTGAGGGTCCCTCATGGGACTCTAGGTCATGGAGCATTTGAAAACTAATTCAGAAAGTTCGCTTTCCCCAAAGGTGTTCTTGATAAATAGGGGACATCAGAAGATCCAAGGAACCAGTTGAAGGGACCTCGGGTACAAAGAGACAGCCCCGTGCCGTTCAGGGCTCTCCGCAGAAGCCTGGGGGAACCAGGCCTCTGGGCACTGTCTGCTCCTCTGGGGCCACTTGGTGTGGTCCTAATCTCCACGTTGAGGAAGCCCTAAGTCAGAGGAGCACACCTCCAAACACGCAAGCCGCCCAGCATTGAACCCGCCACGTAGTCGAAAGACCCCCTTTTATAATAGGTGGGAATACAAATGCGTACAACTTTTTGAAAGGAAAAAGTCACTGCTGACTGAGATGCTCACTGTGCAGATCCGCCCACTTGGTGACTCACGCCTAGGGTTGGATTCCACTGAGGTGCTCCCCGTATGGGGACAACAAGAGGCACCCTCACACCCTGCGAAAAGCAACCGTCAAGTGATACAACATCTTGCTGGAAGAGGGGGCGGAAGGCAGTTCACTCAGCCCTGTCAAAAAACACAAAGCATGTTGGCCTATGCACATGCAAAATCTGAAGAAGCCTCCACCCGGGAACTGGTTGTCTCCGTGGAGTGGTGTATCGCAATGTGGATCTGCTTGTTTTTATAACAAGCAGAATTTTCTAGTCAAAATCAACCATGAGGGATTCCCTGGACTAATATTAATAGCACCTATGGGGCATCTACTGAATGCCGCGCACCTTATTGGATACATGGAGAGGACTGGTGTGGAGGAAGGAGAGCTGGAGTGTGCAGGAGACCAGGCGGGCAGGCCCAGCGAGGCTGGACAAGGCCCCCACTGCACGCCCAGCCCGGCCTGCCAGCGCGTGCTCCTTCGCATCCCCCACTGTGGCCCTCCAAAGCCCTCATCAAAGCCCACCGCAGGAAGACATTTGCCTTAGTCGAACATCTTGACCACGGATACGACCCTTTTTTTCTTTCTCGGCTTCAAGTCTGTTTTAGTCGGTTTTTTGTTTTGTTTTTTTGCTGCTGTGACTAAAAGGTCGACAAGAACAACTTTAGAGGAGGCAGGATTCTTTGGGAGCTCATGGTTTCAGAGGTCCCAGTCCATAGAAGGTGGCTCGGTTCCTTGGGCTCGGAGTGAGGCCCAACTTCAGGGCTGAAGGGTGTGGCAAGGGGAGCAGATGCAGAATGTATACCCACGGCGCCCACACCCCACCCCACCCCATTCAGTTACCACCCAGGTCATGCCCGTGAGGTCGATTCACTGACTGGCTAAGCCTCACACCCCATCATTTCCCCTCTGAACCTTCTTGCATCGTCTCACACGGGAGCTTTTAGGGACACATCACATCCACACCATGACAGAGTCCCTGGGAGAGGGGACACTGCTCCAGGATTGTCTTGACAGGGTGAGCTCGAGTGAGGTGGCCATGGGCAGGGCCTCTGTCACTCTGCCGTCACAGAGTTCCTGCTGAACACCACTCCTCTTCACCCCACTTCGGGGCACTTTGTTTTCATTATCATTCAGTTAAAAATATTTTGTAGGGCTGGGGCTGGGGCTCAGTGGCAGAGCACTTGCCTGGCACGTGTGAGGCACAGGGTTCGATCCTCAGCACCACATAAAACTAAACAAACATATTTAAAAAGGCATTCTGTCCACCTACAACTACAAAGAAAACTTGAAAAAAAGTCTATTTTTAAGCTGGGCAAACACCTGTAGTCCCAGTGACTCAGGAGGCTGAGGCAGGTCCAAGGCCAGCCTGGGCCATGTGCAAGGCCCTAAGCACTTTAGGGAGAGCTGTCTCAAAAATCTAAATAAATAAAAAATAATAATAATAAAAGGGACTGGGGATGTGGCTCAAAGGGAGAATGCCTCTGGGATCAATCCCTGGTGCGTGCACACACACACTCACCATAAAAAAACACACACAGACAAAAAGCTTTCTAATTTCCCTTGTGATTTCTTTTTGGCACCTGTATTTTATTTAGAAGTGCATCATTTAGTTTCCAAATATTTGGAGATTATTTTCCAGATTATTTTTTCTTACTTATTTCTGATTCTATTGCTGTCTAATTTTGCTGCTTTGAAGTTTTTGATACTTTTTATGGCCCAGCATATGGTCTGCACTGGTGAATCCCATGTGCACTAGAAAAGAGCACGGATCCTGAAATTGTTGGCTATAATGCTCAGTAAATGTCAGTCGGGATGAGGTTTTGACAGCGCTATTCAAACCTTCCAGTCCTGAATGGCTTCTCTAGACTTGTGATTTCACTGACTGGAAGAGAGGGGTTGAAATCTCCAGCTCTAATTGTGGATTTGTCTATTTCCTTCCAGTGTCTGCTCCATGTAGTTTTTTCCGTGCATATGCATTAAGTCTTGTTATGTCTTCTTATGAAACGACCCTTCTATTGCTGGGCAATAGCCTCTACCTCTCTGTTCATCTTCGTATTTTTAGAGTCCACTTGGTCTGACACGTGGTCGTCTCACCTTGTGATCAGTGTCCGCGTGGTTTATCTTCTATTCCTTTTCTTTAAAGCTATCTGTATCGTGACGTTTTAAATATGGGCCTCACAGACAACACATACTGGGGATTTGCTGTTTTTAAAAATCCGAGCGGGCATTCCCTGTCTTGCAGCTGGAGAGTTCGGTGCATTTCTCAGCCGTCTCACAGGGGGCTGCACTCCCCACCCTGGTGTCCGTTTTCTCTCTGGGTGGTCTGCTCCCCTCCTCCTCCCCTGCTCTCTTTGGATTAACAGCTCGCTGTAGTGATGCATTTCATCTGTGCGGTTGCCCTCTTAAGAGTGTCTCTCTGACTTTCTTGGTGGTTGCTCTAGAGATTGAACGTGTGCCCTCGGCTTGTCACGGTCCTGGGGTGACCCTTGCACCTCTTCACCATGGCACATCCCCATGGCACTGCGTTCCACCAACAGGCCGCCACGGTCCTTGGTGCTGCTGTGTGACCTCCACAATGTATCATAACTATTTTTCTTTTAAAAGCCATTTGTGTTGAAGCGAGGAAATAAGAGGGAAGACTGTCCTGCCTATTAACACTCTTCCTTCCTTGGTGTAGATCCAGGCTCCCATCGGGTATCATTTTCTCTCAGCCTAAAGAACTTCCTTTAATATTTCTTTTAGTCAAAGTCTGCTGGTGACAAATCCTCTCAGCTTTCGTGTGTCTGCCAGTGTCGTTGTTGTACCTGCACTTTGCAAAGATCTGTGTTGACAGGTTTCTCCCCCTTAGCACTTTGGAAATGTCATCCATTGTCTTCGGGCTTGCACTGCCTCTGATGAGGACTCCCGGCAGCTTCTCTCGTCTTTGTTTCTCTGTGTATGAAGCGTCTTTCCTCCCGCTCTGGCTGCTTTTAGGGTTTTCTCTTTCTTTTTAGCTTTCAGCAATTTGACTCTGGTGCATCAAAGCGTGGCTTCCTTTGTGCTGATCCTGCTTAGTCTCCAAGACTCTTGGATGTGTGGCCACTTGGGTCACCAGGTTCTCCTCTGTCATCCCTCACATGCCCCACCCCTCTCTTCTGGGTGGCCAGGAAGTCAGACTGTTCCTCTGCCCCATTCCTTCCTCCCCATTTCCGCTCAGTTTCTAATTCCTCCATTGCCTGTTTTCCTGTCTCTAGATCCGCTGCAACTCATCCGGCGATTCCTTTCATGTAAGATTTTGTATTTTCCAGTTCCAGAATTTCCATCTGGTTCTATTTTTGTAGTTTTTATTTTTTTGCTGAGATTCCCCATCTGCTCACTCATTTTAACTACCTTTTCCTTTAAAGTTTTAGTTGTATCTATAATTACTCTTTTAAAGATTTGGTGTACCAATTCTTTTTTATTTTTTTGGTTCAAGGGATTGAACTCAAGGGTGCTTAGATACTGAACCAAATCCCCAGCTCTTAAATTTTTTTTTTTTTTAAATTTTGAGACAACCTCAATAAATTGCTAAGGGCCTCACCAAATTGCCGAGGCTGCCTTTGGACTTGCCATCTTCCTGCCTCACCTTCCCAAGCTGGGCTCGGCTGGGTGCACCAGGTCTGATCTCCACCATCCCTCGCTCGGGTTCTATGGCCTTTATGCTGTCCTTGAAGAGGCTTGCCTTTTTCTGATTTTCTGTATGTCAAGCAGTCTTTGTTTATATGCTGGACATGTACTTCTGCTTGAAAAATTTTGAGTTTAAAAGAATTGAGTTCTGGGGACTGGGGCTGGGGCTCAGTGGCAGAGCGCTTGCCTAATATGTGTGAGGCACTGGGCTGGATTCTCAGCTCCACATACAGATAAATAAAACAAGATCCATCAACAACTAAAAACAAATAAATAAATAAGAATTGAGTTCTAACAGGCAGCTAATTTACTGGAGAATCAACTTGATTTTGAGACTTTTTAAGAATCACTCTGTAGTTGCAGACGGACAGCATGCCTTTACTTGTTTCATCCTATGCAGTGCTGAGAACCCGTCCAGTGCCTCCCACATGCAGGCAACTGCTCTGTCGCTGAGCTACCGCCTCAGCCCCTCACTTTGAGGCTGTTTAAATGAGACATCCCAGAGTCCTTACCACAGGGCTAGGGCACCTTTACACCTCAGTGTGACCTTTCTGGGGTCTCCGCTGAGTTTCTGGGGTCTTCAGCAGGACTCCCTCTGGCTGCAGCGCCGGCATCCCCAGCACTGTGAATCGCATTCCCTTTTCAGCTTCCCCGTAGCTTTCCTTTCCCAGGCCCCGAGGAGGCTCCCTCTGCACCTGTGCAGCTTGGTATTGACCAAAGATCCCACGAGCTCCATGCAGATGCTGGGACCTCCGTGCCTGCTCCCCCCTCCATTAGCTTGTTCCTCAGATTCCAGCTCTGGATCCCGACCTTCAGGCTGTCTCCTCCACCCAGCAACACTGCTGCTCGGTCTGTGCCCCGCTTCTGTGCTGGTTTGAGAAGTGCCCACGCGTGGGATCCAGGGTGACTGTGGGGCTCATGTTGGGTGTCTCCCCTCTCAAGGTCACAGCCCCGTGCCGTCCAAGGCTGGAAAGAGTGGCTTCACGGATTTTGCTCAGTTTCATAGCTTTCTAGGAGAAGAGTAAAAATGGCCCCTGCTGCTCCTTCGTGGCCAGAGCCCGAGGCCTCTCCATCTCCTCCAGACCTGGTTCGCATCCCCCTTTTGCCCTTCCTGGCTCTCTCCCGGAAACAGCTTCCTTTGCTTATCACAGCCTCAGGCTGTTGAGAGAAGGAATAAGACAAAGCAGACTTGGCCGTGGGAACACTCCCATCAGCCCTTGTGGTCTCTGCTGGGGAAACTGCCCCCCCCCCTGCTCAGGACAAGATTCCTGCTGTCCTGAGTCTTGCGCTCTGGCTGTAGAGGGCCTTCCTAGTCCAGGAGGTGGGACACCGGTTGCCCAGCCTCTCCCACGTGCCAGCCATGGCCCAGGCTTGGGGATACGGTGGGGCATGATGGAAAAGACCCCTGCTCCGTGGGATGCGTCCAGGGTGGGCCATGCAGCAGGGCGCTCACTCCAGTGTGGCCTTTCAAAGTAGCTGAGCCCACTGCAGATCAGTTGGCCACCTGTTGTGTACCCACCATCCCTGGAACGCCTTTCAGAGCAGAAGGTCTGTGGGGACGCCATCCCCGCCCTCCCTGTGCGGTGGTGTCAGGGAGGAGCCTTTCCCCACGCCAACGTTCATCCTCCACAGCGACCAGAGAGCTGCGCACTCTGTTGAGTCATTCCAGTGCCGCCCGGCCTCTCAGGGACCTCCTGGTCAGTGTCATCCCACGTTGTCTACGGTTTTTTTTAAATATGTCTTTAAAACCTTAATTTTATGTAATCATCCTTGTATGTGGCGTGAGGACGGGACCCAGGGCCTCACACGTGACCCACATTATCCACTTTTAATCTGTTCTTTGCCCAGTGCCTTCCTTTCAGCCTTTTCTCTCCCAGCTGCTTTCTGACGTCGACCTTGCCACATGCACCCCAGCACGCAAGCACCAGCCCTGCCCCGAGGTCCCTTTTCTCCATCTTCCCTCTATTGGAGGTCTGACGGGTGTCTTTCTGCTCCTCTCTCCATCAGTGTGCTGCGGGCAGCTGCTGAAAGAGGCAGTGGCCGACAAGTCAAAAATCGGCGAGCTCATCTGGTCCTTCCTGGAGAAGAAGGTGACAGGTAGGCCAGGCTTCCCCTACCTGCCACCACTTGAGGCTTCAGAGAATGCGCTCTTCGTCCAGTGCTTGAGCACCAGGGCTCAAGGTCGGGGAGAACACTGGGTGTTCAGTAGGCAGAGGCCCAGGCCAGTTCCTACAGTGGGTCGTCACTGGTGTCTAGAAGGTTCTTGCTTCTCAAAGCAGTGACATGGAGTGCTGCAAGGAGCTGCAGAGCCTCCCGGTCCTCCACTGCACGGCGAGCAGGAGGTGCAGAGGGCTCTGTAGATGTGAGGATAGGCCAGGCCAGGGTGGACAGGCCACTGGTCCTCAGGGGTTTAGTGGGGGAGCAGGACTGGATGATCTTTCCAGATCCCCCCTGTCATCTGTAGTCTGAAAGCACTCTGAGTCTGACCCCTAGGAAGGACATCTCCAAGCTCATTCTAGCTCAGCTTCCTGAGACCACAGAGGAGTACAGAGAGGGCACTGAGCTGCTGAGGACACACAGTCTGCTCCTGGCCAGATTTTGAGAAACTCTGCATCTCTTCCCTGGACATTGCATCTTCCACACACTCACGTGTCTCTTGCACAAGTGCTGTGGTGCCTCCACTCAGTCGTGCAAGTTTAGATATCACATCTGACGTGACCATATGGTTGTCATGAAGAAGATCAACCCCAAACCTGGTGGACACACCCCAAATCCCAGCCCCTAGGAAGCCTGAGGCAGGAGGATCACAGCTTCAAGGCCAGCCTGGGCCATGTATCTGAGACCCCATCACAAAACAGAATTTAGAGAAGAGCTGGGATGCTGCTCAGTGGTGGAGCTCCTGACAGCATGTCAAGGCTCTGGGTCCAACCCCCTGTACCGAGGAAAGAAGGAGGAGAGGAGAAGGGAAGGGGGAGAATCGACGCCCGTGAAGCTGTCATCCTAGCAGGCAATGGCCGTCACCTGGGCCACTGGCCAGCAGGGTTCTTGCTCCTTCTCCTGCCACTTTCTGGGTAGAGTGATTAATGAGGCAGTGTCTGCCTGCTCCCAGCCTTCAGCTGAGAGTGCCTGTGGGAGGCATCCTGCCCTGGCTGTCCCAAGGAGTCCTGGTCCCCAGGGTGAAGTTCAAGGGAGCAGAGAGAGATCCATGGGACCCCTGGATCTGTGCAAGGGTAGGTCAGAGGGGGCCCGTTCCAAAGTCACTGAGGGACACCCAGAATGACGCGGAGTGAGAGGGCCAGGCAGCGAGGGAACCAGTCATGTGTGGTGCTTCCTAGTCTGGTTCGGTTCCAGTGCTGCCCCCACAGCTGCGTGGCCCCAAGAAACCACCAGGCCCTCTGGAGCCCCAGTTCCCCTGTGAGATGGGGGGGAACCCTGCTTGCAGGGTCATCATGCCACCAGCTGGAATGTGATGAGCCCTGCGGTGTGCCACAGGGAAAGTGGCAGGACACTGGTGATGAAGGCAGCGTGGCCCCTCTCAGCAGGTCACAGTCGGGACTTGCCCCTGGTATCTCAAGATGGATTGAGGGGTTGGGTTCATGGTTGTGCCCAGGAACAATGGGCATGTAGCCCGGCCCTCATGTCGCCGCCTGCGGTGGCACACGCCTGCTTCCTTCCTTTCCAGCAATGCCAGGTGTTGGTCCTGACAGTTCGTTGTCCTGGGTTCCTTCCTGAGGCTCCAGGGAAGAGTGGACCACCTCGTCCAGGTCCTAGAGGCCCTGCATCTGGCTCCTGCCCTCTCTTCTACCTGAAAGCCAGCAGGGTGCTCCTCTTGTCACACCCCTCTGGCTCACGCCTCCCTCCCTCCCACCCAAACAGTCCAGGGTAACTTCCTGTCTCAGAACCTTGACTTAATCACATCTGCAAATCCCCTCATCCCCTGCAGGTACCAGGGGCTTTGGGCTGGGGAGCATTATTCTGCCCACTGTAGCTAATCGCTGCAATCTTTGCAAACTGTTAAGTGCAAAAAAATTTTTTTTGTTATTGTCGTTTGGTTTAGGGTTTTTGTGGTGATGGGGAGGGAACCCAGGGCCTTGTATATGCCAGGCACATGCTCACCACTGAGCTACAGCACCAGCCCCCAAACTTATTTTTTTCTAATTGTGGCCTCTTGGTTACTGGTGGTACTGGTAAGGTTGAACACCTTCTGATGAGACAGTCAGTGTAGGTTCCATCTCTTGTGCATTGCCCTTCTGTGGGCTGGCCCTATTGATCTATATTTGTCTTCACTTGCTCCTTCTTTCTTTCAGTGTTTGGGATACAAATACAAGGCCTCAGGCTTCCTAGGCAAGTGCTCTACCACTGGTCAATTCCTTAGCCACTATTTTTCAATTAAGCTATTTTTTGTTGTAATTGGTTTATAGATGCTCTTTGCATATTAGTGTTGTTCAAATTTTCCATTAACTTATGTATATCCACATTATATTTTATTTATATATTTCAAATCAATCATGCGATTGTACAGTTTTAGTGATTGTTGGGGATGGTGATATGTCACAGCCCTTAGCTCTCAGATGTCCTGGAGTATTGCAGTTCCCAAGGAGGTCCTACTAGCATGTTGATTTGATTCTTTTTGAGGTCACGAGCACTTGACCTTCTAGTTTTCTTCATCCATGCTCATCACCATCTGAACGGGTAACCTTCTTGCCTTTGGCCTCCCAGGGCACTGGGCACCTGCGATGGCACAGCCTAATGGACCGTCAGTTATGGGCACCACAGTATTTACTTACCCAACTGGCATCTGCAAGGTGAATGGGAACAATTGCTAGTTCTTCCCTGTATAGGAACAGGAGTGAGTTTCCTTGGGCCCATCTGTGCCTTAGGCACAGTGGCTTATCTCACCCACGACCAGTAACAAACCCGGGAGTCCCCGTGGAGGTCAGGTGCAGACGGTTTTGGTTTGTTTGGGTTTTGCTTTTTTGGTGACTACCAAGGAGACTGAGTGCACCGTCACATTTCCCATGAGGTTGGAGAGACCTGGATAGCTTCCATCTTCAATGTTTTGTGCTTTTTTTTCTCCCACGGCTTTGTGTTTGTTTAGTCTATGTAGCTCTATAATTTTGCTCTTCCTACAAAATTAAAGACACAACAACAACCAGTATCATATCTTCCTAACAGAAGCAATAAATCCTGTCATCTCACTAATCCTGATCTTGCAGGATAACAAAGAATGCATTTACATTCATAACCACTAACAGGGTCTCATTAGTGGGATGTGGAGACGCTGCAAAGAAAACCGGAGCTCTCGGCTGGCCAGGAGGAGCCCCGCACCACCCAGGCTTTGCAGGGACCACCCAGCAAAGGAAGAGATTCTCCATAGAAACTGGGTTTGTAGAGAAGATCCCACTGAACACGGAATCTACCCACCAACCACAGCCTTGCTTTTTGCTGAGTAACTGCTGTTGGTGGTCCGGTGGAGGCTGCCCCGCTTCCTAGAGTATCAATGACATCTGTGGCTCAGGGTCCCCAGTCCCTGGGTGCACCTGCTCAGGTTTTGGGTGGTGAATAGCCTTGTCCCTTCCCCTCACCCTGTGCTCTGAGCTCATGAGGACATAGTCCCTGGAGCATCAGGTGTGCCCGGGCCGGGACTCTTGCATGGAGATGTGGCTGGCATCTGAGGCCATGGCTGGGCTTCCAACATCCCCTCCAAGGCCAGGTCTGAGGAGAGCTACCCACTGCATGGCCACATACTGGTGGGAACAGGGAGATGGCCCCCAGAGCGGGCTCAGGAAGATTGCTGACTGAGTGGAGGCAGAATTGGAAGGGGGTCGTCCCCGCCTCCAGGATAGAAGGTCCCTCCAGAGCACCCAAGGACAGTTGTTGGTGCACCCTCTAGACTGCAGAACTCTTGGAAGAGGGAGGCTGTGGCTGTTTGCCTGTCTTCTCTGGGGGTCTACGGAGGCATCTCCAATTTCTCTCTCCTGAATCCCAGGTGCAGTTTGGGTGTCTATGCCCCGTGGTGCTGGTGACGTTCCTGGGAGCCTGGGGGAACAGCCAGACACCTCCTTGTGGCCGTCTGCATGGTGCAGGGAGCATGGCTGGTGGAGAAGGGTATGATAAGGACAGAGAGACCTCAGGCAGAGGGCTGACACACGTCACCACCTGAGCAGACCCCAGTCCAGCTGCGCATCCTCGGCAGCCCCAGGCCAGACAATGTGGCGCTTCCTGGAGACACGCCTTTTGCTCCTCTGGGTATTAGGCCTCCTCTGTGGGGACTCTGCTCTGCCCATCCTCTGGGCTGCTGGCCTCCTGGTCACTTGTCACAATGGTTGAGTCCCTGTAGTGGCAGGTTCCCACCCCAGCCATCTACTTGGAGCTGCGTGGCCCGGAGGTGCTGATCTGTTCCTGTTGGGCACCTGCTGCACAGGTGGCCTCCTCACCCTCCTGCTCCATGGATAGATCCGAGCCTCCTTCCCCCGTGAGCCTCCTCCTGCTATTCCCCCACCTGGCCTCTGATGCTGAGTCCCAGCTGTGACCTCTACAGACTCGGTCATGTTCTTTTTTGTCCTCACGAGTGCTGCCAACACCTCCTTCTTTGGAATCAGCAACAGAATTAATAACTGTGCTGTTTTCCCTTCTTTCCCCATTTTCTGGGCAATGGACTCTAGGGCCCCATCTTAGTCATCTTCAATATCTTGATCCCAGGCTCTTGGTGATGGTGCCGTGGACAGAGGGATGGGGAGATGCTTATTCTGTGCCCTGGACTTTGAAATATACAGGTCTGACCTTCTAAACTCATTTTGACTCCATCTGCAGAACAGAACAAATTTATTCCCCAGGGTTCTGCGTGGCCTTCTTTATGCAGCCACTGCGGCACCGTGGGCGGGGGTTGGTCTGCGAAGGACAGCAGGGTTGAGCTTGAATCACGCAGCCTTCCTCACCGGAAAGCTCCTGTCACTTGTACCTGGGTAAGACATGAGTCAAAGCGATTTGGGGCTTTTGGAAAAACAAGTCCTCAGCCGTTTCTCTATCAACTGAACTGAGGCTGTTGGCCCTGAGAGCCTGTGACCGTGTGTGCACCCGGGCTCTGGGCAGTCTCT